TGTCTCGCCGGATGTGAAACGGCCTGCAGCAGGATAGAGCAACGATCTGCTTCGGAGAGCTTCAACTCGGGGAAGTTGCTCAACTTGATCTCCGCCTTGGCGATTTCGTCCTCCAAGTGTCTGATGATGTCCATGGGCTTCTTGAGCCCCGAACATTGTGCATGCAACTTCATGCAACCGTCTCTCACGTAGACGGCTTCCATTCGAGACACAATGGAGTAGTTGAGGTGCAGGGTGCGAACTGCCTCGTAGCCGGTAGCAGACATGCTCTGTCTTTTGCTACAGCTTCGAAGCAACTCCAAACCACGCTCCCACTTCGCCTTGCTCTGCGACAGCAGGTAAAACAACTTCGCCGACCGAGCTGCAGTGTCAGGAGGCAAAAGGTCCTGTCGGATCTCGTCCTTGACACCAATGCAGAGACGAATCTCGTGCACGTAGGCTTCGTCCTGCAGGGCCAGCCAAGAACTCAGCGTCTCCAGGAAGCTGTGCCAAGCTTCAATCTCCCGCATGCGGTCTCTACCCATCTCTTGGTGGGCTATAACCGGCAACTGTGGAAGATACTTGTCGGCACGGTTGGAAACGTACCCTCCAGTTGAACTCCCAGCTTCCTTGGGCACCGAAGGTGGAGTAGAGCTCGAGACGCCAGTTCCTGCAGCAGACGTTGCTGCCACAAACGGGTCAAGAGGGGCAGATGCCGATTTCTTCTCGGCCTTTGCTTTGGCTTTGGCAGCCGCAGCTTCTGCCTCATCTCTTCTCTTCTCCTCACTGTCCATGCGACAAAGCATGGTCGCCACAAGCTGCTGGTTCTGTTCTAACTGTCGACGGTACTGCTCCATCAAAACTTCTTGGCTTCTCTGCTGTTGCTGCATGATCCACAGCATCTCAACCACCAAGTCTTCTCCCACAGCACCTACACCAGATGCACCGGCAGGCTGAGAACTTGCAACACCGGACGGAACTCCTTGGGTTCCAAACAGCAAAGTCTCCTTCTCGGGAGTGTTGTCAGGGACTGGGACTTGCTTAGGAGGCAACGTCCCGTGCACCGGAGAACTCTGTGGGCTTCCATGCACACTTCCGCCTTGCTCTGGAGTCGCCATGGCGTGGAGGCACTCAACACAGGCGCTGGAGGCACTCTCAGTGCTGCGCTACCATGTGGAAAGACTTGAGCCAAACACCAAAGTGTTCAGCAAGCCTTCAGTTCTTTGCCTTTTTTTTTTGGACTAACGCCTCTTTCTGCATCAGTGGCACAGTAGGCCGGTCTTGTTGGCTCGACGTAAAGGGTGAAACAAAGTCAGCACACAATCCGCCAGACACACCAAGCAACCACCAAGCAAACAAACACCAAAGAAACAAAGCGAGCAATCGCGCTGAACTACTGGATGGCCCACGGACTCAGTAATCGAAATCGTCAATGAAGTTCCCCGCCTCTGACCTGTGCCACTTCCTGGAAGGGGCAGCCCTCTGAGCATTGTAATCTGGGACATAATCAGGAAGCATTTCTTCATTCTCTGGGGCTTCAATTTCTTCTTCTTTTTTGGAACAATGGGTTCCGCAGGGGTTCAAACAGCAAAGGCTTTTCGGAGTCTGCGTATCAAGCACAAGAGGATTAACTTTAGCCAACAGCTCCAACGTTGGGCGTCGTCGTGGTTCGTCCCGTTCAAAGATCACGACGCTGGAAACACCTCAATCTCTCCATCTCCTCCAATGACAGTTCCATTCACACCTCCACCTCTAGGATGGACGGGGCCCAGATGGCTCACTCGAACCGTCTTGGCTCCCCGGAACTTCTCTAGATGTCGTTTAGAACCGCCAACTTTGGCCTGCGCAGAACAACCGAAGGGAAGCGTCCCAGTCCTTTGGACTTTCTTCTCGTGCAACCTGTCCATTGCTGTGGTACTGTTGTTGCCGTCAAATTTCCACAAGTTGAAACTGCGTGCGGCGCACAGCAACAAGTCTGCCACAATTCTACCCAAAGTTAACTGCCAGGCGGCGCCACCTTCTTCAACAGGTCGTCGACGCTTTTTATCTGGTCACAAGGAAGCACAGAGCTTGTGGGGGAATGCAAATTGCAACATTGCAGATTCCCAAAACCACCATCATGTTGCCACTGGTGCGACAGCGGATTCAAACCAAGGTCATCAGACTCCAGAAGAACCAAGCCCGAAAAAGGAGGATGTTGGATTCGTACTTGCACCCAAAAAATGCTTCAAGCGTGTTTGCGTGGAACGGATCTTGTTGGTTGGTAGGAAAAGCGCGAAAGCTCCAACTCAGGAAAAGCCCAAAACATGAAAGTTGTTGGCTTGTGTGCGGCTTGTTTGGCATGGTGTCTAGATGTGGCATGCTGTGTGTTGAAGGGAGATGATGAGAAAGTGCCGGAAGAAGGCTCAAAGCAGCCAGTGACTGAGCAGAGCCCACAGAAGTGGGATCTGAAGGTCATGAGGGGGTAGCAGGTGGCGATCTTCCTGAATCTGACATGGAGGACATGGAGATTGATTGGTTGACGGATCATTATCTTCAGAAGTTAGGCCGAGCTGTAAGCAATCAAGCGGCGTCTTCCTTTGAGCTTAAGTTTGGAGGGAGTAGAATCTGTTGTCAGGTCCCCCAACAAGCTGTGTCAGAGACCTCTGGTGAGCTGTTGTATCCCAAACTCCTCTATCTATCCATGAAACTGGAACTAGAAGAATTGGAGTCTTAGCGAGCGAGAAGCGTACAGACTTGCCTAAGGAGAGCGGAAGAAGAGTTCTTTCGAGCCGTTGGGTCAATACGGTTCAGAAGCCTGGTCTCTACCGCTCTAGACTTGTTGTCCGCGATTTTGCCGCTATGGGCGGCACCACGCTCGCTGAGGGGATCTATTCTCCTACCACCAGCCTGGAAGGGCTGCGGCTCCTACTTTCCATTCTGTGTAGAAAAGGGTCTGTGCTGTCCTGTGACGTGTCGGTAGCGTTTATGCACGCCGCTATTGCGCGGCCGGAGTTTGTGCAGCTTCCGAGTAACATAGGAGCTCCAGCAGCAAGGCTATCCTTTTCCAAATGAGGATGTGCTGAGTCCCGAACGTGCACAGGCCCACTACCATGCCTTCACCCGAAGCTGGGGAAGGTTTGGATTGTCCAGGATATGTGAGGGATGCCGAATCCTCACGACAGGCAGGCACTGCAGACCGGCCAAACCGACAGGAAAGATGTTGTGCAAGAATTGTCGTGAAAAGACTGTCAAGATCCTTTTGCCGGTCCTGCCGCCCATCCCCGAAGCACTCCAGATTCTCCAGCCCCGCAAAGACCGGCGAAAGGGTCTTCTTGAAACTGTTTCGTGCCATGAACGGGCTTCGAAGTGCCCCGCTTTCTTGGTACAAGGAGCTGTCGGCGTACTTGGGAAACCAAGGATTCCAGCGGATCTTGGACCCTACAATCTTCCGCAAGAAAACCAAGAATGGTTTGGTGATTGTCCTCTTTTATGTTGACGATTTGTTGATTTGGGCCGAGAACACCGCCGAAGCTCGAAAGGTGTATGAAGACCTGAAGAAACGCTACAAGCTTAAGCTAACAGGTGAGCTCTTGGAAGGAAAACCAGGTGAGGTGTCTTTCTTGGGACGTAGGATCTTCCGGAAGAAGACCGGAGAGCCCTGCGTATACTTTGGCTTGGACGCTAAGTACTTGAGGTCTTGCTGTGAGGAGTACGGAATCACTAAGGTGGCGCCGAAGCTTCCACCATTAGAGCGGCGGTATGCCGACCTCATCAAGAAAGGACAGGACACACCTCTTACGCCAGAGGCGCACGAGCGCTATAGGCGTACCTTGGGACGCCTAGCCTGGGCGTCGCTTTCAAGACCTGATTTGCAGTATGTATGCGGTTTTCTAGGAAGACACCAGTCAGCCCCCAATGAAGCAGCCGAAGCTTGTATGAGGGATGTTCTGAGGTGGGTGTCTGGTTTACCGCATAAGGTCCAAGTGTTCCCCTCACGTAGAGAGCTTTTAGCCCCTGATGAGGACCGAGAGTCAGTGTCGTGTTTTGTTGACGCGTCTTGGGGTTTGAACTCTGTGAGTGGTGGAATTGTGACCTGGAACAACTGTTGCTTGAAGACGTTCAGTCGGAAACAGACGACCGTAGCTTTGTCATCGGCAGAGGCCGAGCTAGCAGCACTGACTGAAATCGCCAGAGAGGGATTGTATATATCTCTGTTGGTGCAGACGATGGTGGAGGGGATGCCTTCTGATTCGGAGGAAGGCCGATATCAGTTGCACGCGTACGGGGACTCTGAAAGCGCCCTGTCCATAGCGCAAATGAGTACCCTCCTTAGGAAAGTCCGCCACATAGAGTTGAGAGCGGCTTTTCTCCAACAACTAGTCGCCAAGGAAAGATTGACGCTGGAGTATATACCGGGGAAACTCAACCCCGCAGATGCTCTAACGAAGTCCCCAACTGCGGAGAATTTGGTCAGTCTTTGTGAGGCCGCTGGCCTCATCAACGAGCCAGAATCGTGGTCGTCGATCTCCGAAGAAAACGTCGAAGAAGTAAAAGATGAGCCCAATACCACTAAGGAAGTATCTTCGAACGCAGTAAGGTCCTCTCCGCTGGAGGTTCCTAGCTCCTGGATGGAAGCCGCGACGGCAGTGGCTAAAGGAACGGTGTCGCTCGTCGTTCTGGAGCTTTGCTGCGAAGAGTCGAGCGCTATAGCGAGAGCGTGTGCTCGAGAGAGAGGCATAGCGTACTTCGGAGTGACTCGGGAAATCAATCTTCTGAGTAAGAACACCTTTCTTGTTCTTGAAGAGATCTTAAGAGTCCTGAAGCAGGGAAAGGTCCGTGTCTTTGCGCATTTGTCTACGCTTTGCAGCTCAGGCTGCCCCTTGAGGTACCTGCGTTTTCGCAAGCGACGAGGTTTGGAACTTTGGCGAAAGATGCTTCCTTCACGCGTGCGTGATTGTGCTTTATCGTTAGCTTAAACGAATGCGGGCAACGTTTGCCTAACAAGTTGTTAAGTCGGGAGACGGGGGAAACGTTCGCCCATGCAGTCGCTTGAAGCTCGAAGCGTAGCTTCCTGGTTTTTCTGTAGCGTGCATCAAGCTGCAACGGCAGCCTGAACTGATCCCCACCGTCATCTCCCAAAAGAAAAGGTGCTTGCGTTCCGGCAGTTATGCAATTAGGATAAGCTTCCGATATGCTAAAGATTCACAAGAGTTGCTGGAGACTTATAGGGAAGCTATTCGGCCCCTATTCCTCGAACGAGGGTTTGCTGTTAACCCACGAATGGCCTGAAAGGTCCTCTTTGTGGAAGGAAACGGTATTTCTAGAAGTCTCTAAAAGCATTGGTCTGACGCAAGGATGTCTAGTAGATAGGTGCTGCTTCGAGAAGAAAGAGAAGACTTGGAAGAGATGGTGGTTCGCTTCTAATAGTGCTGCCTGCGTGTGGGAACTGTCTTCGTACGTTTGCGCAGGAAACCACGAACACTCGAAGAGTGCGCCTCTGAAGGAGTCTGGGACCTACCCGGAAGAGCTTGGAAAGGCTCTTGTCAGGATTGGAAAGAAGATCCTGAAGCTGCAGGAAAGAAAGGACTGAAGGGAACTCCCCAAGGACCATCTGTGCATGAGGGGGTGTGAAAAATGTCCGACATATGCTGCCACCCAGGATTGGGACAGGGCAAAGAAGGGCCTTTCAAGTCTTGATGTTGCGTTGCGCCGTAAGCTGTCGCATGAAATTCTCCACCGGAAAAAGCGACATTCAGTGACAGTGCTTTTGGATTTAAAGGCCTTTTATGAAAATGTCCGACATGATAATTTCGTCAATCAGGCCATTTCCCTCAAAGTTCCGCCGTTGATCCTGAATGCAGCAATGTCGCTATACTCTGCTCAGCGCTTGATCAGTGCTGAACACTGTGTCTCTGGTCCGATCAAGCCCACCAAGGGCTTAGTTGCGGGCTGCCCATTTGCGCCTGGCCTCAGTAAGATCCCTTTTGACGAGATCCTGCGCCCGGCATGGGTTTCTGGCCTTGCCAAAACCATTGATCTCTACATTGACGACACTAGCTTTGACACTGAGGCTGGTAACCCCCACACAGCAGCGCGCCGGGCGGTGCAATTGTACAAGGCTGTGGTAGGAGGTTTGACAGCTGCTGGCCTCCCAGTCAGCCTGGGCAAGACAGCTTTTGTATGCTCGTCTCCAAAAGTTGAAGCTGCCCTTAAAGAGTATCTTCCTGAATCTGATCAAATCAAGAATGCCGCGAAGGACCTGGGGATTGATTGTACGGCTGGGCGTAGAAGGCGCATTCCGTTCCACCGTAAAAGGTTTGGGAAGGGCGTTAAGCGCAAGGCTAGGCTCTCGACCCTGCGTGTGAAATCGATGCCAGCTAGGGTCAGAGCCCTGAGGGCGGGGGTCCAAACTGTGGGCCTTTATGGCCATGAGGCAGTTGGGCTTGCGCCAAAGCGTATGCATTGGTTGCGTGCTTCCTTCGCACATGAATTGGGGCGAATGTCTTTGGGCTCGGTTGACCTCACCATTGACCATGCGTGCCCTAAGCGGCCGGACCCGGCCTTTACTATCATTTCCCAGCATTCAAGGCCATTCACAGGCTTCTGGGCTTCATTCCCGATAGCCAAAGGCAGCACTTTGATGATGTCTTGCCGGGTATGTGGCTTGAATACTCACAGGTGGAGTACCCCTGGAAGCGCGCTGCAGGGCCGGTTGGGGCCCTCCTATGTTACCTGCTTGACTTGGGTTGGACCCCGGTCAGTGCGGACACTTGGAAATGCCCTGAACAACCGCACAGCGTCACCACCAAGGTAGGCATGCACCACCTCCTTTGCTCCCTTTCTAAGGAAACAGATAGGTGGAGGCTCGCACGTATAGCCCAGCACGACATGCTTGAACCTCTGAGTGTGGGAATTGATTGGGCCCCCCTCAGAAAGCTTAGGAATAAGATGGCAGGCCAGGAGAGGTCAGGACTCATGGCTGTTTGGCAAGGAGCAATTCGTGCTGATCCTTGTGCCACTTGCCTGAGGTGCGGCTGTGCTGCTACCATGCAACATGTCTTATGGGAGTGTGACTGGTGGCAAACCAACCTCCCGGAACCGGCTTCCTTTCCTAGATTTCGGCAAGAGTGGCCCATTTCGTCACTGTGGGCCAGGGGCCTTCTGCCGATTTCGCCTTACCCTGATGATGGGGAATGGGTACGAACTACTGGTGCCTGGTGTGATGGCCAGATCATTTGTGGCGAGGCGATATACTTTGCTACTGATGGCTCCCCGGGGAAATCCAAGGACCCCAGGTTCCATCGGTATACCTGGGCTGCGATTGCCTTTAAGCTTGAAGGGGATGAGCCCGTCACGATCGCGACAGCTGTCGGCTCACTGCAATCTCCGCTATCGGTGTTCCGGGCGGAGGCAGCGGCTGTCAAGTTTGTAGCTGAGCATAGTGAAGGGAACGCAGACCTCACCTTGGATTGCAAGGGCATCCTGCCCAGAGTGAATGGTACACCTTCCATCCAGTCTGCCGACCTCTTCGACCCCATTCGACTGCATGCACAGAGACTCAGCCTTAACTGGGTATCCTCGCATTTAACGGAAGAACAATTCCGAGCAAAGTTTGGTGCTAACCAGCTTTGGAGGAGACGTGCTAACGAAATTGTGGACCAGCTTGTTGGCACGGCTGCCGAAGCTCGTAGGGACCTGAACTTTGAATCCCAAATTAAAAAGCGTGATGCAGTTGCCATTCAGGTTAACACCTTACTGGCCAGGAGAGCTGCAGCTCTCCTTTCGTATGACAAGGACCAAGGACCGCTGGTTCAGTGGCCTGACAAAGAGCAACGAAAGCTCCGCCAAAAGCCCAGGGTCAGGGATTCGGGTGTCCTGAAAAATTCTAAGCTCCCCAAAATCAAAGGTCCTAACAAAAGGGAACAGATTGAAGGCCTTCTTGCTGGTACACAGAACTTGGGGCACACCTGGGTAGAGGGTTGTAGGCTTCCTTCCAACCTTTCAGCGCGGTGCTCGAGGTGTGAGCTATACATCCAGCAGACTGAGCCCCTCCCTACCTTTTCCCTTAAGATCAAGCACCCTTGCCTAGGTGTTCAGGCGGACCCTCCTCCTTGGGATCCCCACCCTGATCATGTGTGGGTTAATTTAGGTAAGTCTTGGGTTTGCTCAAAGTGTGACAAGATGGTCAAAGTTGGTGTCCGCAAAATCCCGACCTGGATTGTAGCGCCTTGCAGGCCCACCAAAAGTAAGGTTGCTACTGCTAGCTCCAAAAAAGCAAAGGAGGTGACTGACACTGGGGTTCAAAGTGTTCGGGCCTTTTTTGTGTCGTCCTCCAGTCAGGAACCTTCACCTAAAATTTCTGTTCCCAAGCCTAAGCCAAAATCCAAAGCGAAGCAGTCTGGGCTCAAGCAAGCTAAGATTGCCTTTTAGCACGCTGCCTGTCCATAAGATTCCTGCCACCAAGGCATACTTCAAAGGCCGGCCAGGCAAGCGTGAAAGTGCCTGGCTCAAGCAGTCTGGGCACAACCAAGCTAAGACTGCCTCCTGAGTATGCCTCCGAAGCATAAATCCCCTGCCTCCAAGGCCTACTCAAAAGCCCGGCCGGGCAAGCGAGAGAGAGCTCGGCTTAGAGGTGCAGCTCCTAAGAGAGCGCCGCCTGCTGGTGTGAACCCCCCGCCTCCCAGGCGGAGAAGGGTGGAACCGCCCCTGAGCCCGGGCCACAACACGTGCAACCCCTGAGCCCTTGGTGGATAACCAGGCTCAGGGGAGGAGGAATCCTGGAGTTGTGCTTCGGGAAAATCCTCAGCTCGAGCAGCACAATCCTGTGCACCGCCCCCCAGCCGTGGTGGCAAACCAGGCTGAGAGGGATGAACCTCCTGGAATTGTCCTTCGGGAGAATCCCCATGCACCTGGGGCTGGTCCGGTTTTGGGTGCCCCAGACCAGGGCAGCTGCTCTGAAGAAAGCGAGGAGGAGCCAATGGTGCCTGATCCCATTGTGCATCCCGAGCCTCCTCCAGCACCGCCAGCTGCGCCTATGTTGCCTGCCCCGTTGAACTTTGACGATATGGATCAAGAAGCGGGCGCAGCCTTTGCTATTGCTGAGAGGGCTCGCAATACCAAGCCAGGACTGGTGGCTTTCAAATCCGATCTGGGCTATCCTGGTGTTTTCCAGGCCCTTCCCAAGGACCTGATCCACGTGTGGTTCAATGACACGGGGGACAGCACTGCGGCGTATATCCACAATGGAAGAACCAGATTCGGATATGACGCTGGTGGGGGCTACGTCTTGAAGGTTGGGACAAAGCAGGCCTTTGGAGATGAGGTGGCGATTTCGGCCTTGCTGCCTAAGGTGGCAGCCACCATCATTGGGGCTGGATCTACGACACTGCAGGTGCTGCTCTCTGGGCGACCATGGGAGTTTAGGTCCCATTTGGTGGCGTGGTCGATGGTGGAAAAAATCGAGCTCCTCACGGATTATGGTTCTCGGAACCAGATCCACCCTCAGTGGTCCTTGTATGCCTTCGCCCTCCTTTTGCAATTGAGCCGTCATTTTGCTCTTCGTGATGTGTCAAAAACCAACCTGGGAATTAAGCCAGGACTCAGTGCTGCGACGCCCATGTTGTGTTTTTTCGACCTCGCGGATTGGCACTTCGAAGGGCTTAATGCTGGAAGGTGGATTCCCAAGTATAGCTTGCGCAGCTTCGTCGAGACCCTTCGATGTGTCTGTGACGTTACGCCACTGGAGCCGTATCTCCGCAGGCAGGCGGTGGTCCCTTGCCTCAACGAGATTATTGCAGGTCTCCCCGCTGCGCTCAAGGCAAACTTGGAAATCCAAATGGTCCTCATGGACGGCCGACTTTCTGATTGGGCTCACCTTGCTGCATTGGCTAACCAATAAGCTTGGGCCTTCCAAGCTTTTGGTGTTGTCAGTCAGGTCTTGGGGTCTCCAGACCATTCAAGGCGTGGGCCCAGTCTTGTTTGCTGTGTGTGATTGCAGATGCTCGGGTTGTTGAACCCCGACTGTCATTGCCTGCTACCGTGAGTCTGCGTGCTTGGGTGTTCCAAGTGCAGCTAGGCCTTGGTGTAACCAGGCCTCAGGCATGGGTGCCAGCCTGAAGTGAGTGGCGCAGCTTGTAGCTGTAGGGTAGGTGTAACCCCGACGGTCTCATTTCTGAGCTTGGACTCAAGGCCTACTCCTTGCAGCTACTGCGTGAGTGGCTTTTTACTTTCTTAGGGTAGGTGTTCACCCGACTGTTTCACACAGAGCCAATGGACTCAAGGCCTCCGGCCGCTTCGTGCTTGCGTGGTGAAAAATGTCCGACATGATAATTTCGTCAAGCAGGCAATTTCCCTCAAAGTTCCGCCGTTGATCCTGAATGCAGCAATGTCGCTATACTCTGCTCAGCGCTTGATCAGTGCTGAACACTGTGTCTCTGGTCCGATCAAGCCCACCAAGGGCTTAGTTGCGGGCTGCCCATTTGCGCCTGGTCTCAGTAAGATCCCTTTTGACGAGATCCTGCGCCCGGCGTGGGTTTCTGGCCTTGCCAAAACCATTGATCTCTACATTGACGACACTAGCTTTGACACTGAGGCTGGTAACCCCCACACAGCAGCGCGCCGGGCGGTGCAATTGTATAAGGCTGTGGTAGGAGGTTTGACAACTGCTGGCCTCCCAGTCAGCCTGGGCAAGACAGCTTTTGTATGCTCGTCTCCAAAAGTTGAAGCTGCCCTTAAAGAGTATCTTCCTGAATCTGATCAAATCAAGAATGCCGCGAAGGACCTGGGGATTGATTGTACGGCTGGGCGTAGAAGGCGCATTCCGTTCCACCGTAAAAGGTTTGGGAAGGGCGTTAAGCGCAAGGCTAGGCTCTCGACCCTGCGTGTGAAATCGATGGCAGCTAGGGTCAGAGCCCTGAGGGCGGGGGTCCAAACTGTGGGCCTTTATGGCCATGAGGCAGTTGGGCTTGCGCCAAAGCGTATGCATTGGTTGCGTGCTTCCTTCGCACATGAGTTGGGGCGAATGTCTTTGGGCTCGGTTGACCTCACCATTGACCATGCGTGCCCTAAGCGGCCGGACCCGGCCTTTACTATCATTTCCCAGCACTTCAAGGCCATTCACAGGCTTCTGGGCTTCATTCCCGATAGCCAAAGGCAGCACTTTGATGATGTCTTGCCGGGTATGTGGCTTGAATACTCACAGGTGGAGTACCCCTGGAAGCGCGCTGCAGGGCCGGTTGGGGCCCTCCTATGTTACCTGCTTGACTTGGGTTGGACCCCGGTCAGTGCGGACACTTGGAAATGCCCTGAACAATCGCACAGCGTCACCACCAAAGTAGGCATGCACCACCTCCTTTGCTCCCTTTCTAAGGAAACTGATAGGTGGAGGCTCGCACGTATAGCCCAGCACGACATGCTTGAACCTCTGAGTGTGGGAATTGATTGGGTTCCCCTCAGAAAGCTTCGGAATAAGATGACAGGCCAGGAGAGGTCAGGACTCATGGCTGTTTGGCAAGGAGCAATTCGTGCTGATCCTTGTGCCACTTGCCTGAGGTGCGGCTGTGCTGCTACCATGCAACATGTCTTATGGGAGTGTGACTGGTGGCGAACCAACCTCCCGGAACCGGCTTCCTTTCCTAGATTTCGGCAAGAGTGGCCCATTTCGTCACTGTGGGCCAGAGGCCTTCTGCCGACTTCGCCTTACCCTGATGATGGGGAATGGGTACGAACTACTGGTGCCTGGTGTGATGGCCAGGTCATTTGTGGCGAGGCGATATACTTTGCTACTGATGGCTCCCCGGGGAAATCCAAGGACCCCAGGTTCCATCGGTATACCTGGGCTGCGATTGCCTTTAAGCTTGAAGGGGATGAGCCCGTCACGATCGCGACAGCTGTCGGCTCACTGCAATCTCCGCTATCGGTGTTCCGGGCGGAGGCAGCGGCTGTCAAGTTTGTAGCTGAGCATAGTGAAGGGAACGCAGACCTCACCTTGGATTGCAAGGGCATCCTGCCCAGAGTGAATGGTACACCTTCCATCCAGTCTGCCGACCTCTTCGACCCCATTCGACTGCATGCACAGAGACTCAGCCTTAACTGGGTATCCTCGCATTTAACGGAAGAACAATTCCGAGCAAAGTTTGGTGCTAACCAACTTTGGAGGCGACGTGCTAACGAAATTGTGGACCAGCTTGTTGGCACGGCTGCCGAAGCTCGTAGGGACCTGAACTTTGAATCCCAAATTAAAAAGCGTGATGCAGTTGCCATTCAGGTTAACTCCTTGTTGGCCAAGAGAGCTGCAGCTCTCCTTTCGTATGACAAGGACCAAGGACCGCTGGTTCAGTGGCCTGACAAAGAGCAACGAAAGCTCCGCCAAAAGCCCAGGGTTAGGGATTCGGGTGTCCGGAAAAATTCTAAGCTCCCCAAAATCAAAGGTCCTAACAAAAGGGAACAGATTGAAGGCCTTCTTGCTGGTACACAGAACTTGGGGCACACCTGGGTTGAGGGTTGTAGGCTCCCTTCCAACCTTTCAGCGAGGTGCTCGAGGTGTGAGCTATACATCCAGCAGACTGAGCCCCTCCCTACCTTTTCCCTTAAGATCAAGCACCCCTGCCTTGGTGTTCAGGCGGACCCTCCTCCTTGGGATCCCCACCCTGATCATGTGTGGGTTAATTTAGGTAAGTCCTGGGTTTGCTCAAAGTGTGACAAGATGGTCAAAGTTGGTGTCCGCAAAATCCCGACCTGGATTGTAGCGCCTTGCAGGCCCAACAAAAGTAAGGTTGCTACTGCTAGCTCCAAAAAAGCAAAGGAGGTGACTGACACTGGGGTTCAAAGTGTTCGGGCCTTTTTTGTGTCGTCCTCCAGTCAGGAACCTTCACCTAAAATTTCTGTTCCCAAGCCTAAGCCAAAATCCAAAGCGAAGCAGTCTGGGCTCAAGCAAGCTAAGATTGCCTTTTAGCACGCTGCCTGTCCATAAGTTTCCTGCCTCCAAGGCATACTTCAAAGCCCGGCCAGGCAAGCGTGAAAGTGCCTGGCTCAAGCAGTCTGGGCACAACCAAGCTAAGACTGCCTTCTGAGTATGCCTCCGAAGCATAAATCCCCTGCCTCCAAGGCCTACTCAAAAGCCCGGCCGGGCAAGCGAGAGAGAGCTCGGCTTAGAGGTGCAGCTCCTAAGAGAGCGCCGCCTGCTGGTGTGAACCCCCCGCCTCCCAGGCGGAGAAGGGTGGAACCGCAGGATGAGCAAGCCCCTGAGCCCGGGCCACAACACGTGCAACCCCCTGAGCCCTTGGTGGATATATAACCAGGCTCAGGGGAGGAGGAATCCTGGAGTCGTGCTTCGGGAAAATCCTCAGCTCGAGCAGCACAATCCTGTGCACCGCCCCCCAGCCGTGGTGGCAAACCAGGCTGAGAGGGATGAAGCTCCTGGAATTGTCCTTCGGGAGAATCCCCATGCACCTGGGGCTGGTCCGGTTTTGGGTGCCCCAGACCAGGACAGCTGCTCTCAAAAAAGCGAGGAGGAGCCAATGGTGCCTGATCCCATTGTGCATCCCGAGCCTCCTCCAGCACCGCCAGCTGCGCCTATGCTGCCTGCCCCGTTGAACTTTGACGATATGGATCAAGAAGCGGGCGCAGCCTTTGCTATTGCTGAGAGGGCTCGCAATACCAAGCCAGGACTGGTGGCTTTCAAATCCGATCTGGGCTATCCTGGTGTCTTCCAGGCCCTCCCCAAGGACCTGATCCACGTGTGGTTCAATGACACGGGGGACAGCACTGCGGCGTATATCCACAATGGAAGAACCAGATTCGGATATGACGCTGGTGGTGGCTACGTCTTGAAGGTTGGGACGAAGCAGGCCTTTGGAGATGAGGTGGCGATTTCGGCCTTGCTTCCTAAGGTGGCAGCCACCATCATTGGGGCTGGATCTACGACACTGCAGGTGCTGCTCTCTGGGCGACCATGGGAGTTCAGGTCCCATTTGGTGGCTTGGTCGATGGTGGAAAAAATCGAGCTCCTCACGGATTTTGGTTCTCGGAACCAGATCCACCCTCAGTGGTCCTTGTATGCCTTCGCCCTCCTTTTGCAATTGAGCCGTCATTTTGCTCTTCGTGATGTGTCAAAAACCAACCTGGGAATTAAGCCAGGACTCAGTGCTGCGACGCCCATGTTGTGTTTTTTCGATCTCGCGGATTGGCACTTCGAAGGGCTTAATGCTGGAAGGTGGATTCCCAAGTATAGCTTGCGCAGCTTCGTCGAGACCCTTCGATGTGTCTGTGACGTTACGCCATTGGAGCCGTATCTCCGCAGGCAGGCGGTGGTCCCTTGCCTCAACGAGATCATTGCAGTTCTCCCCGCTGCGCTCAAGGCAAACTTGGAAATCCAAATGGTCCTCATGGACGGCCGACTTTCTGATTGGGCTCACCTTGCTGCATTGGCTAACCAATAAGCTTGGGCCTTCCAAGCCTTTGGTGTTGTCAGTCAGGTCTTGGGGTCTCCAGACCATTCAAGGCGTGGGCCCAGTCTTGTTTGCTGTGTGTGAATTGCAGGTGCTCGGGTCGTTGAACCCCGACTGCCATAGCCTGCTACCGTGCGTCTGCGTGCTTGGGTGTTCCAAGTGCAGCTAGGCCTTGGTGTAACCAGGCCTCAGGCATGGGTGCCAGCCTGAAGTGAGTGGCGCAACTGGTGGCTGTAGGGTAGGTGTAACCCCGACTGTCTCACTTCTGAGCTTGGACTCAAGGCCTACTCCTTGCAGCTACTGCGTGAGTGGCTTGTAACTTACTTAGGGTAGGTGTTCACCCGACTGTTTCACACTGAGCCAATGGACTCAAGGCCTCCGGCCGCTTCGTGCTTGCGTGGTGAAAAATTCACCTGGGTTCTCCCCGCTGCGCTTAAGGCAAACTTGGAAATCCAAATGGTCCTCATGGACGGCCGACTTTCTGATTGGGCTCACCTTGCTGCATTGGCTAACCAATAAGCTTGGGCCTTCCAAGCCTTTGGTGTTGTCAGTCAGGTCTTGGGGTCTCCAGACCATTCAAGGCGTGGGCCCAGTCTTGTTTGCTGTGTGTGAATTGCAGGTGCTCGGGTCGTTGAACCCCGACTGCCATAGCCTGCTACCGTGCGTCTGCGTGCTTGGGTGTTCCAAGTGCAGCTAGGCCTTGGTGTAACCAGGCCTCAGGCATGGGTGCCAGCCTGAAGTGAGTGGCGCAACTGGTGGCTGTAGGGTAGGTGTAACCCCGACTGTCTCACTTCTGAGCTTGGACTCAAGGCCTACTCCTTGCAGCTACTGCGTGAGTGGCTTGTAACTTACTTAGGGTAGGTGTTCACCCGACTGTTTCACACTGAGCCAATGGACTCAAGGCCTCCGGCCGCTTCGTGCTTGCGTGGTGAAAAATTCACCTGGCCCAAGGTTTCGGCTCAACCCCGGTGGGGTGCTCAGGTAGAGAGCGTCTTTAGTGCCGTTGTGGCTGGCCCTGGGGCTTGTAACTAAGGGTAGGTTCCGTTTTGAGGCCCTGGCAAAACTGTGTTTGCTCGTAGGCCGGCTGACCGGCTAAGCTGTCATAGAGCGGCGGCCCGCCAACTGCTGCCGTCGACGAAGGGCGTGAGTGCACAGTTTTCGGCCTCGCTTCGCTAGAGGGAAGCTTTTCGTCCTCGCGTTGCTGAGGGAACCTTGTGGCCTACAGTCTGCTCTGGGTCACAGTGAGAGTTGCAGCCTCGCTTTGCTTGAGGGGTGACGCTAGCCTGTTGCTCACCAGAGATTCCTGCTGTCTCTGGGTGAGCAAAACCCACCGACCCTCATTTGGATTGAGGGCTGTGCTGAAGGTGAGTTTGGGTTCCTCGCTCACTTGTGTGGAAAACGAAGGTGAGACCGAAACACGGGGGAAAACGGCCAGGCACGCTGCAGACAGTGCAGGCCAACGTCGCACTGCAAGCGGCATCCTTGCAGTGGCGACAGGAGTGTCCCGAACAATTGCGGTGTGCTCGAGCCCAAGCTTGCAGGTGTTCGGGGATCTGCAAGCTGAGCACAACAGGATTTTCTTCGCAGGTAGAATCAGGTAGAAAAGATTTGGCCCAACCCTGGTGGATCTGCCTGGACACAAATAACCAGAGGCATCAGTGTCGTAAAGCTCATTGACTGGTGCTACTGAGAAACCGTTGCCAAAGAACTTGCAGTAGGACTGTGGTGCGGCGCAGTGCAAGTTGACGAGCAGCTGTTGGTGGCTGCTCCCCGGAAAACCAATAGTCCAAGAAGCCTCCTTCGGCCTCGCTCCGTGCTGAGGGTTTGTAAGGGTTGGTATTGGCCGGAAAGGATTCAGGTGGAGGTTACCCGATCTTCGCGCTTTTCCCATCTGAAGGCAACCAATGGTAATCAGCCTGCTGGACATGGCAGGCCTGCTTTTGTTTACATCCACGTCTCCTGCAAGGGCTGGGGTCTGTCCATGCACACAGACAAGGCGGAACCTTGCAGATGTTTAGGTCCTCGCGGCACGGCCGCTGGAGGTTGTTTGAAGATGTTGGCTCTCACTATCTGGTGAGTGGTTTGAATGGGCACTTGCTGGGGCAAGGCGGCTCTGGCGTCTGAGGATGGTACATGTGCTGGCTGCTGAGTACGGGCCACCGAAAGAGACCTGTGGTAAGACAAGCGATGAAAGGAGCCGAACTCCTAAACTCTAGGACAGGCTAGCTCACGCGGACGCCACGCAGAGTATGTGTCACTATCTTCAGATGTTGGAGCCAAATTGCCTAGCCGTGTGACGTGAGATGTGGTGTTTGGATTCGGCCTCAAGCACTGGAAGGCCTACAACAACAAATCCGAATGAAAACTGTGGTCCTAAGACACGCGGAGCAGCTGCTTATACGTGGCACCGCGGGGGTCACATAGAGATAGAGGGCTTGCCAGCAAGGGAACTCTGTCTAGAGAGAGCCCTGGCTCAGTGAGGAGCTGAGGGCCTGGCTGCGCAGATGCAGCGGAATGGTTGTTCGGCCTCGCCTCCGCTGAGGGAACAACAGTCAATGCTTCTCTGCAGTATCGGTCCGGGTTAGTAAGAGCGAGAACGCCGGGACCTCGAGCTGCAGTTTTACCATGAAGCAACCGCGTGAGATGCATTATTGGTCAACTGGTGAGTAAGAGCGAGAAAGCCAGGGTGACGCTACTTTGGGGGAGGCTGCAAGGCACGGTTAGTAAGTGCGAGAAAGCCGGAGCTGCGGACGAACCTGGAGTAGCAGTCTTTCATACCTCACGTGTTTCACTTTGCGGCCTCGCATGCGCTGAGGAATATGCCTCGAACAGAACATCCAGTGCTGAGTGGGGATTGCCAAACTTACGGAGGCTGATGCCACAACAAGTGCCTCAACAGCAATGCATGCGGAGGGCAAAGTTCGGCCTCGCGAGTGCTGAGGGTTGCAGCTGAGAGAGGGCCTAGCTGAGAACGCAACACCTCAAGCGAGGTAATTTTTAGTTTAGTTTCACCTTGACCAACGGCCCCTTCGGGTGGCTACGCCTCGCAGCGTGCAGAAGAAAAATTCACCTGGCTCAAGGTTTCGGCTCAACCCCGGTGGGGTGCTCAGGTAGAGAGCGTCTTTAGTGCCGTTGTGGCTGGCCCTGGGGCTTGTAACTAAGGGTAGGTTCCGTTTTGAGGCCCTGGCAAAACTGTGTTTGCTCGTAGGCCGGCTGACCGGCTAAGCTGTCATAGAGCGGCGGCCCGCCAACTGCTGCCGACGACGAAGGACGTTCGAGTGCACAGTTTTCGGCCTCGCTTCGCTAGAGGGAAGCTTTTCGTCCTCGCGTTGCTGAGGGAACCTTGTGGCCTACAGTCTGCTCTGGGTCACAGTGAGAGTTGCAGCCTCGCTTTGCTTGAGGGGTGACGCTAGCCTGTTGCTCACCAGAGATTCCTGCTGTCTCTGGGTGAGCAAAACCCACCGACCCTCATTTGGATTGAGGGCTGTGCTGAAGGTGAGTTTGGGTTCCTCGCTCACTTGTGTGGAAAACGAAGGTGAGACCGAAACACGGGGGAAAACGGCCAGGCACGCTGCAGACAGTGCAGGCCAACGTCGCACTGCAAGCGGCATCCTTGCAGTGGTGACAGGAGTGTCCCGAACAATAGCGGTGTGCTCGAGCCCAAGCTTGCAGGTTTTCGGGGATCGGCAAGCTGAGCACAACAGGATTTTCTTCGCAGGTAGAATCAGGTAGAAAAGATTTGGCCCAACCCTGGTGGATCTGCCTGGACACAAATAACCAGAGGCATCAGTGTCGTAAAGCTCATTGACTGGTGCTACTGAGAAACCGTTGCCAAAGAACTTGCAGTAGGACTGTGGTGCGGCGCAGTGCAAGTTGAAGAGCAGCTGTTGGTGGCTGCTCCCCGGAAAACCAATAGTCCAAGAAGCCTCCTTCGGCCTCGCTCCGTGCTGAGGGTTTGTAAGGGTTGGTATTGGCCGGAAAGGATTCAGGTGGAGGTTACCCGATCTTCGCGCTTTTCCCATCTGAAGGCAACCAATGGTAATCAGCCTGCTGGACATGGCAGGCCTGCTTTTGTTTACATCCACGTCTCCTGCAAGGGCTGGGGTCTGTCCGTGCACACAGACAAGGCGGAACCTTGCAGATGTTTAGGTCCTCGCGGCACGGCCGCTGGAGGTTGTTTGAAGATGTTGGCTCTCACTGTCTGGTGAGTGGTTTTATGGGCACTTGCTGGGGCAAGGCGGCTCTGGCGTCTGAGGATGGTACATGTGCTGGCTGCTGAGTACGGGCCACCGAAAGAGACCTGTGGTAAGACAAGCGATGAAAGGAGCCGAACTCCTAAACTCTAGGACAGGCTAGCTCACGCGGACGCCACGCAGAGTATGTGTCACTATCTTCAGATGTTGGAGCCAAATTGCCTAGCCGTGTGACGTGAGATGTGGTGTTTGGATTCGGCCTCAAGCACTGGAAGGCCTACAACAACAAATCCGAATGAAAACTGTGGTCCTAAGACACGCGGAGCAGCTGCTTATACGTGGCACCGCGGGGGTCACATAGAGATAGAGGGCTTGCCAGCAAGGGAACTCTGTCTAGAGATAGCCCTGGCTCAGTGAGGAGCTGAGGGCCTGGCTGCGCAGATGCAGCGGAATGGTTGTTCGGCCTCGCCTCCGCTGAGGGAACAACAGTCAATGCTTCTCTGCAGTATCGGTCCGGGTTAGTAAGAGCGAGAACGCCGGGACCTCGAGCTGCAGTTTTACCATGAAGCAACCGCGTGAGATGCATTATTGGTCAACTGGTGAGTAAGAGCGAGAAAGCCAGGGTGACGCTACTTTGGGGGAGGCTGCAAGGCACGGTTAGTAAGTGCGAGAAAGCCGGAGCTGCGGACGAACCTGGAGTAGCAGTCTTTCATACCTCACGTGTCACTTTGCGGCCTCGCATGCGTTGAGGGAATATGCCTCGAAGAACATCCAGTGCTGAGTGGGGATTGCCAAACT